AGTAAATAATTTCACAAAAATGTGACAGTTAGCCATTAAAAATCGAGAAAGGTGGAAGCTCTCATGATGGAATAGACATCGTAATTATCGCCACATAGCTTTTCAGTATCAAAAATGTTACCACTATTATTGCAGTTATCGTTATTATTTTCCTTAATAAACCATTATTATTGTTATTAATATTAACATCAGTTATAAGAAATAACAACCAATGCACATGAATCCTCACTCAATTCAACGCTGCTAACTGGTACTTTTCTTGATTTTTTCGTGACCGGATCCAAAGCCATCGTTCGACCTTCTTCACGCGGTTGTACCACTAGCTGATAATGAATTGAGCATTGCCTTGGAGATCTGAAAAACAAATTATCAATCCATTTAATCTAATCGAACTTTCAAATAATTAAATATTTCAGCTAATCTTATCAAAACAATTTCTTCATTATAACTAGCGAATAGTCTATGACAATCGTTATGTCAACTGAACGATACGAAACAAAACGCTAATCGCTCAACACCCAAATGAGCGTTTATGATGTCATATTGTATCAATTTCTCTATGTTATCCTACTATGCATCTTAATTGTTTTAAGAAACATGAAAGCGATTGCATTAACCGAAATATAACGATGAAAAATAAAAATATCAATCGTTTGTATTGAATCTGTATAATCCCAATTTGGATTTTGAATCTAATTCTGCATCATAAGATTTGAATATCAGTTAAGAACGATGTTTCATCGGGTATTTGTCAATCAACTAACCGATAAAACGACGTGTAACGCATCATTAATCGCGAAACGAAGTCCCAGTTGATGGTATGCCCCGGTTTCGCTGAGTTTAAATGATACGAGAAATGCTGCTCGTGTGCCACTGCCTGAAAGCAGAATGAAACTTCAAATATTCAATGCTCTCCTCATATCCTCAACTGACTGNAATTTTTTACATTTTATGAACGATTCAAATGAGCTGTATAGCACACACTTATTTTGTGAACTGATATCAATGCACATCATTACTACTATAATCATTGAATAAAACTTCAATTGATACTCAACTGAGAGCTTATCGTTTCTGAATGGAATGAAAAGGTAAATGATCAGTAAAACTCAAAGATATTACAAGAATTAAAGCGAAATCCTCAGTGATCAGCCATTCGGGTCCCTCGTAATCGATCGCTTCATTTTCGCGTGGCGGTGGCGTTAACGGTCGACGTAAATCGGATTTGATCGAACGACCGTCCGAAAACAACGATCGCGAACTGCAAACATTCCAAGCAATCAATCACTCAATCACCACCACACAGTACACTGTACTCAAATGATTCTCCCCAAAACTTCGCTGCATTTATAACTGTCAACATGCACAGTTGATCTATCGAATAAATACACAACACGTTCAATGTTTCCATATCAAAATATACACTGAATAACTGTGCTAACCTTCCGCCATAGGAACGTGACATTGAACCAAACGACGAGGAACTTTTTTGTGCTGATTTCCGAACACTATCGATTGCATCTGCAAATGATTAACTTCAATTCTGTTTATTCTGGAAAAGTTTTTTAATGACGATTTTTTTCGTCGTTATCCTCCTTCAGCTGAGCCTTCGTTATCGTTTTTTCTTCTCGAAATTTTCGTTTCTCGGATCACATTTGAATCTCAACAGCTTTCGTTNAGTGCCTGGACTGACCATCGACACTGTTCGGGATTCGTGACGGTGTTGCGGGTCTAAGCAGATTAGAAGTATCCAAATAAGGCGATCCACTAGTGACACCGGTCTGCGGGATCGTCTTCATCATCCGTTCGCGTTGTTGATGTTGCTCATGTTGACCACTCAACGTCATCGACTGCGCTGACAACATACAACTTCCTCTCATGTCACCTCGTAACGATGAAGGCACTGAAGCACAACAACGTTATAACTGCATAATCACAATAATAGTTATAAGATCAGCATTATAATTTTTTCCATTTCATAATATTGCTGTAAAATAAAAGCAATATGTTACCAGTTTCAACCGGTTGGCACAAAACTTCCAAAATATTGATTACAAATTCAACTGAGAATACTTCCTTCAAGACGATACAACAATTGTAATTAGAATAATGAATGCATAATCAGCAGCATTCTGATGATAAATTGATAGTATAACAGTCTAGACTCAATATGACCGAATCGAAAATAAAACTGTATTCAAAAGTAGAAACGAACATCTGAATAAAATGAATGTTCTAACCCATTGACGATTGAGATATTGCTGAATTTGCACCGATTGGGATGTTTGACGATAGAATCGTGTTTTGTGCGGTTGTTCCAAGAAGAGACGACTCGTTGGGCATAAGTGAAGACTGATGTCGATGAGCAGTGACCGGTAACGACTGCAAGAGTTGAGTTGGCTGATGGGCTGCTGATAAACCTGCTGCTGCAGCAGCAGCAGCCATGCCGAACGATGTCGGGTGTTGCTGGTGGATTGCGGCTGAAGATAACGAAGAGGCTTGATGAGCATATGGAGCGACATTCGGTGCCGATTGAGATGCAATGGGAACGGTGGTGGTCAGTGGTCTGGGTCGATGAAGTTCGTGGATGAGCGCTGGCAATCGAGATTCACACATCACCTCATGCTCATACCACAAGTCACCACATCGATCGTAATACAAATCATCTTCTGCGTCCGATACTGGTGGCGATAACGGAGTCCAAAGCTGAACACATATTAAACTTTTTTTCGCAATGCTAACTTCATATTCAAACGCAATCCAAGCCAACAGATTCTACTCGGATTGATAGTGCCTTCTTGCAGGACTGTATGTTGGTGAACTG